CTACGTACTTCAGGATGCAGTAGAAAGTAGATTAGAAGAGGTCCGTCAGGAAGTACTGGATCAAATACAGGAGCAGATTAAGGTCGGTACATGCTTATATACTTGCTATATACGTGAAATACACACGCTTAAAATATAGCTGTTAATTATTGAAGATTTATAAAAATTTGTTATGTATATTGGCTGATGCATGAAAGGGCAGGTTTGAAGAACTAAGCTCTTTGATAGCTTATAGATGCTATATTTTTTTGCTTGGTGTGTGAAATGGTGGCCATCGTTTTATTTATTTTAAATGCAAATATGCAATAAGCACTTAAAAATCTTGTTCTATTTTTTTTTTGCTTGCATTGAAAATTTAGAAGTCTTTTAATTATAGTAAGTTTTGACTTGTGAATCAGACTATGATATTTTTCGAATTATCTAATGACTAAAAATTCACGTTTCACATACAAAACCACTTGCACACTCAAACACATATGTATGTACAGTTCGCTGAGAGTACATCAAACCCGGAACACATGGTAGTGCCAATATCATATTTTGGCAACGGGACAGTCCCGTCTTAAACCTCACAGAGTTCACTTCGTAAATGTACAGTTGAGGACGTTTATTTCCTACCCAATGAATTAACATTTGAAATTCCCAGTGCAATTAAGTACAAAACTTGTAGCAACATGCATGGTTAATTGTGAAAGTGTTCTTATATTATTTGCTGAAATAAGTGGGAACCGAATTTATTTCTCTGACTTATGTCTGGCGGTTGGCCAGCTAGTGCGGTAGTGGACACAGACTTTAAATAGACCAAGGTCCGAATGACTATACTTTTATTTCAATGGACTTTCTTGTAACTCAGGATTTGTATAAAGTGATTATCAGTGCTAGCGTTTGTTAGAAGCATTTGTTGTGTTGTGTGAAATGTAAAAGTTTGTGTGCTGGTGACTGTGACATGTGAAGGTATGCCCGATAGGAATCACCTGCCATTTTACAGAGCACGAGTAAGTGTGTTTTTAAAACCGTTTTATAGTATTGAGTACAAGACTTGATAGATGAATTGAAAACAAGAACCGGAGCGTCATTCGGCCACGAAAACTAATAGTCGCGGGCTTGCATTTTTTAAAAAAGTTCATAAGAATAGAGAGTTGATAGTACCGGGGTTAGGGTATGATGCATTTGGCACTAACTGACCGCCCTTCAGCGTGGTTAAAGAAAGGCAAAGTAGACATGGCTTAGGTTACTGGTATAATAAACCGGCACTGATTATCCTCATAATCCAAATAAATAAAACTTTAAAACCTTTAATTTAAAACCCATAATCCATATATATAATGAAGTTTCACTCTACAAAGTGATGGTCAATAAAACATCCTTATCAAACACAAGTCAGATGTCAGCAGATTTTATTTACGTCGCTATCTATTCTTTATTGAACTTGAAGGGTATGGTTATGTATTAATTTATTTATCAGTACAATAGCATGATAAATAACGTAGGAATATTTTTAACTCTGCCACACTTTCAATTGGACACTGATGTCCCTTAGTGTTCATTCACATTAAATTAAAATTTATTGTAAATCTCACGTTGTCTATTTTGTTTGTACTAGCTTTTGCCCGCGATTCCATCCGCTCGAAATTCAAAAATAATATAAAACATAGCGTATGTTACACAATGACAACGTAGCTTTTTAATGTTGAAAGAATTTTTGTAATCGGCCCAGTAGTTTTTGAGTGATTTCATTACAATCAAACAAAGTTTTCCTCTTTATAATATTTATTTTGTAAGTACAGTAAAGTGCGTGGCGGGTCATCGCCATTTTGTCCGTGGTTTTTGGCGCGTTGCCAGCGCGGAGACATTTTTCGCGCGGTTGACCCCGTTATTTAGTTACGCGCCGTCTGCAACTACTTTTTTTATTGTCTGCACAGATTAAACTATTTTTATGAATGAACTATTTTTCGCACTCAAGTTATTTAAACTTTGTAATGAGTCATTGCCGCCTAAAATCACAGATCGATTTAGTTTCACAAAAATATTTGAATTATTTTTATTCTTTTATGGCATTTTATGTAAAAAATACATGTTATTTTTCGCACTGTGCAGAATTCTGAGAATTTAAGCTCATCTTGCGGTTACATCGTAGGTTAATAATTACGTATTTTTTACAATAAACTACAATTCCTCTCTTACAAAAAAACATGGTGTGCATATGATCAAAATATTGTTTTTAAAAAGAAACTATAACTTATGTCTGATGAATCTTAGCAAGCCTTAAGTTACAATTGTCAAGTCTATTTACTTAAGTCGTTAATTAATGACACAATATAGTGATTTATTTTTATAATCACTGTATGTAAATATTATGATGTGATAAGCTAACGATCGCTCTTATTTCTTTAACCATAAGACTGATATTGCTCAGTTGTCCATCAATCGGTGTTTGGTGATAAGGGTAGTGGGGTCATGTCCATTGTATCTTCCAGTCTCTCTGCTGCGCTTGCGCACTATAGTTATAAACTGTAAACTATGTTTATATGCAAATTGTGCGTTTTCTTAATGTTGTGTGAATTATTGTGATTTTGTATACAAAATGGGCGATATTTATGTAAGTCCTGGTAATCGTTTTTCATTGTGAAGTTACAATGTTTTGGTTTTTTATTGCTCATTAGAGGAATGGAAATAAAAATTATTGCATTCAAATATATGAATTGCGTTCAATCATATGATTGTTAGGAATTATGGTTTATATGAGGGGTAAAAGCAAATAAGCTTAAGACAAAATACTATATTGTTGCCTCTTTAAGCAACAATTTGTTATGCCATCAAGTCTAGTCTAGAAAATCTTAATAAAGTATTGGTTTATATTGTTTTTTTTTTACGTTTGTTAAGCCCTTGACCACGATCCCACCTCACACCTGGCTGCTTTTTTCCCGTAATATCTAGTTGATTGACACCGTGTGTCCAGGTGCTACTGTCAGACCCTGACGCGGAGCTGTCCAGCTGGCCGCTGGAGCTGGTGGCGCTGCGCGACAGGATACACGGGGACGCGCGCGCGCTGCAAGACAAAGAGGTAACTGACACTCAAATACAGAACATAAGAAAATCCTTAACACTTGACTGTATCTCTAGAATATTCTGCCAAGTTGACAGAAAATGTAAAAGATTTACTTGATATTTAATATGGGACTTGTATAGCTCGTTTTGACTCTAAACATTCAGTTTAAATCCGGAAGTCGCCGCATAAATAGCTTATAATGTAAATAATGTTTGATATAATACTGCTTCGACGTTTACGACGTCACTACGTAACGCACAATTTACGATATGTCATACTCTTTTCATCTTTGTTTATAAAAATCATAGAATTTATTTATTTAAATGCAACTAGTATCACACTAATATTATAAATGCGAAAGTTTAGATGGATGGATGGATGGATAGATAGATTTTTGTTAGCGTTTGTGGCCTTAACGGCTAAATACATCCGGATGAAACTTGGCATAGATGTAGAACATAATCTGGAAGAACACTTAGGCTACTTACTTTTGTTTTTTAATTCCGCGCGGACGGAGTCGCGGGCGAAAGCTTGTTTCTTAATATATTATTAGTATGGTCGCGTTATCCGTAGATCCATGGGCTTATAAATAGATGTCACCCTCGCCGTCCCCTCCCCTGGCGGTGGCGGCGCGCTTAATTGCCTTTTTCATCAGTTTGTTTTGCACCGAGCTAATTCGAACCCGCTCCCGGCGCCGCGACACTCGCGCCCGCGGACTCATCATACAAACATGCGAGCTTATGGTGTTCCTTTTAGTCTATTTTAGAAGACAACTTTCTCATGGTTTATTATAACATAGAAATACTTGGAAATGTACAATGAGTAGACATAATGTCAGAATACTGATTCTTTATCATGTAACTAGTGATTACATCATCAATATCGCTCCTTAAAAAAAACTGTGCTTAATGGTCCAATGCCTCCCCTTTCAGGCACATTTTACAACAGATAAGAAAAAAAATAGTATCATTTGATTAAATAAGTGTTTAGCATATATTTAATGTTTGAAATCTCTTTGGTAATTTCATATCTATAAGAGATTTTTTAAGGAAAAGTACGCGAGGTCGGCGACCTATTTCTAATTATATGTATTTGTTTATGTGTCGCCGGACACGGGGCAGCCGCGCTTATTGCTTGCACTCGCTGCGGCGGGTGTTAGAGTTCCGACTCGAGGGACCATTCTCCCTACAAAGTATTTGGATTTTGAACTCTAATACGTTTATATAAGGTTTATATTACAATACCTATAGTCTCGCTGACTGCACTAATTAGAGTTGATCCCTCTTTAATTGTTATTAGCGTTACATATGCTTTGGGTGAAATAAAGGTTTACTTTTTGTAACTGGATTTAACTTAAATGGTTCAGTCGACAGTTAAATAGTTTTGTTCTATGAATATACCTAGTTAAAGGCTTCCAAGCTAAGTTCTTATCGCTTTTTAAAGGATTTACTAAATTAATGCCTACAATCTAATTGTTAAGACTTGTACCTTGTATCAAAGCTTACTAATATATTTAGGTAAAATAGTTACCATTTTGAAATATGTGTGGTTTATATAAATGCATTACTATTATTTATGTTATCAATCACGAGAAGCTTTAAGCGAAGTGCAGATGTGTGCACTTGTGTACAGTGCGCGCCACACGCGTTGAAAATGTTACACACCTAATGTACATTACTATGCTCTTGAGATCGCAACTATTGGCTATATTTTGGTACACTCGGCAACAATATGTTAGTTACTAAACTTTTTTATTTTAATTATCGTGTAGTAAATATCGAAATAAGCTTTTGAGGTTATTACAATGTTTGAAGTTTTGAGCTTTCTGTGTCTTTTGAATGTCAATTTTTGGTTTACCAATCCTTTGATATAGTTTTCCCTTTGTTACAAAAATAGAGTCGAAAGTTTTAATTAATGATTACTAAATATGCAAATGAGTGTACACTTACGTACATTACGTGAACACGACCTACTAATTGATATCAGAACGTGGACGCATCTGGCTGAGTGCACTGCACTGCCTCTAGTAAGCGGACCACTAAACGTAGTGATGCTACGAACGTAAAAGAAATATATCGATACACGAAATCTAAAGTCGCCTATAAAAATTATCGATTTTAATATATGTCTTACTGATTTTATTATAATTATCTGGCATCATAGGTAACGCATAACAATTACGTTATTACGATTGTGTATCTTTAGTACAGATAATAATTTTATATTGTCATAAGCAAGTTTTTAATAAGGTTTTTTTTTTTATATAATGTAATTATACAACTGAAATATTTTAAATTGAGTTTAAAATTGACAAAGAAATAAAATAAAATTATCGATATACCGACATAATCGTAGGCAATCACTGAGACGACTGAAACAGGAAGCATTCTGCCATGTGCACTGCTAACACACTTGCCTTATGTTATAAGTGAACTGTTTTATCTTAGGTGACGGTAACTTGGTAAACGTATAAAAATGTCTTTGAGTTTTTTCTACAATATTGTACAGATTGTATATCCTAAAACAAACCGTTTTATGCTGAAGCATATTTGTGTCTAAAGAAAGGAACAGATTATCCACTTCAAAGACACGCGTTAATCTTTTAAAGTGTAAATGTGTTGTGCTTCCTGTTTGTGGGTCTGTAGAGATTGCTAATTACTTACTTCAATTATAACAACTAATCGATTACATTAATAATGCCTAAATAGAGCGTTAATTACTAAAAAAAAAGATTTGTTTGTAGCAATTCGTAGTTTTTTTTTGTAGAATCTATTCTTATTGTTTGTATGGAAGTGTTGTACACAGTTAGCAATTTTACAGTTAGTAAAAATTAAGTAAATAAAAGATAGGTATATAATTAATGAATGAATTAGCAGGCCACTTCCTTGTGCATTTGCATCTTGTTATTCTTTGCATAGTTGATAATTGATTTAAAACATTTCGTACGCACTTGAGAATCACGATGCCACTACAAGTTAGTTTCTGAACTCGTTAGATGTTTAATTTGGTACTATATTATACCCGTATTGTGGTTTCTACGAATCAATATAACGTTTTATGTATATTATTCTTAGTAATTTATAGTCGTAATTCTTCATTTATATCTCCGCTGTTTTAATGATTGTGCATAAAACTTACGCTCGTATACAGGATCCAGTGATATTTTTAGCTGCCGTAGACTTTATGGGAGTTTTGTCTGTCACTTTAAGATAAGCTTAGCCAAGCTGAAAAACTTGAAATAAGTCATAGTCACACGATATATCCTAAATTGTAAAAATGTGGTTTTCTTGGATTTTGGCGAGACTAGAAACTTATAGAACTGGACTTTAGTGAATAATATCCATGTAGTGTTCACACTAACCTGTACTTCTAACCGTTAACTGACACTAAATCAACTACTTAATCCCGTTGCCCCCGACATATGACAATTAACTTATTAACCACTTGAAGACTTCCAACGGACAATAGCTTCTTGCTAACTTAACGCTATTTCTCTTCCTCCATATCTTACTTTTATGAAACACTAGCTGTTGCTCGCGTCTTCGTCCGCGCGGAAATAAAAATTGTAAATATACCCTATGTTACTCAGTGATAACTTAGCTATGTATTGGTGAAAGAATTCTTGAAATCGGCCCAGTATTTGAGTTATTTCAATACATACAAAAATATGAATAATTGCTCTTGATAATATTAGTTTTAACAATTGAGATGTGTGATATTCGGTTATTGTGCCAATTAAAATTAGACGACCTAGATTTAGTACAATCTCGATTATATTTACAAGTAAAGCTCACAATGGACACATTAGATGTCTGCTCAATTCTGTACTTTTTAAACAAAGCTTATTTGAAAATAGTCACATTAGTTACCTTGAGAGATGTTATTCCCTTAGGATGGATCGAAATCTGTACAGGATCGTAGATTCACGATGCACCGCGTTTACAATGATGCAGTTCAGTGTGGCGCCGGCCCTCACACGATACGGTCGTATGTGAGCTTTCGGCACCCACAAATAAACGCACATGAGACTTTATGCGTAGAACTTAAAGTAGATATTCCTATGTGGTGTAGCTAAACCGTTGAGTTTCAAATGGTGACCGTTTTTCATTACATCGTTTAATTTGTTGGCTCTAAATATATTTGTGACGGAGATGTTCACGGTGTAAGTGCTGTGATGTGCAAATAGTGCGGGAAAACTGTGAAGCGTTTATTATAGATTTTCTAATTTGAAATATGTGTATTTTGTGGAAGATTACTTATTATTGTGCTTTTCAATGAGTTATAAATCGGATCAATGAGGTGCGGCCGAGATATGGTTAGATAATCTTTTATGTTTTCTGAAGTAAAATAATAATTATTTTTAATTAAACGACTTCAGCCAATTATTTATAATATCTTAGGTTTAAATACATCAATCTGTATGTTGTTAGTTTTTTTGGTAATTAAGAAAAAAGGCAAAGAAAAGCTTAAAAGTTTCTTTCTCGTGGTAAAATGTAACTTATCTGACATGTGAAGTAAAGTGTAGTTTAAGTACACAAGTAGTTCAGTGGGCTATCTTCTTATCAAAGAAAATACGCAAATATTTCCCAAAGCTTTTTCTGATATCCAAACATACAAACATCGATAAGGACGATGGACTTATTGACATTACCTCTATTTAAGTTGTCTAGATAAATGTGGTCCTATATTTGCTTATTTATTCTTGTCATTTTCGCAAACGTATTAATTACTCGAATAGTTTTTTGTAAGAAAGAATTAAATAATATAGCACCCATTTACAAACTTAACTCGAAGCACACTTTTAAGAAAATCAATTTATAAAACACTTGGTTTTAAATTTCCCGGAAACTTCCCCTCTCGGCGGACTTTTAGCATCCCGGATTTGAGGACAATTGACGATGGCACTTGCCCGCATATGTTTCAAAGTAAGCTGTTTTGACAGGAAAGACAAAAATGCAAGAGTTTTTTTTCAAATTTCCCAGAAATAAATGCATAACGGAATATTTTTGTCGCTTTATTTAAGCTTTTTCCCTCTCTGCGCGCTTAATAATTCATTGATTAGCTTCACCCTCCCTTACGTTCTCACGTGCTCTCCCCCGCCCCCTACCTATACATAAAGCACATAAAAATCCATCCCCATGACAGATTCATCCCGCATTCATCGCAGTGGGGGACAAGTACCAAGTTTAAAAAGAACGCGTTTGTTGTTTAGTTACTTAGTGATTTATTTTGATATAATATTTCTGATTTCATATAAGATGTTTCAAAGTATTATTAAGATAAGATTTTTATAAAACTATGAATCAATTTTGGGTATACACAACAAATTACTAGAATACATAAATGCATCTTTAGCACTTTTTTTAAATATGAATAGCAGAGTGTTTGGCTAGCAGCTATACTCTTAAGTCTTTTAAAATTTACTCGTAATTTAAAATATAGGGCGGAGTACGCTCGTGTATGTCGGATCCCCCTAACTCTGTCCATGCTAAACAAAACAGTGGTCTATTTCTGTGCCGGCGCCTACGAGCAACTCGGAAACAATGCATTATTTATGTACGTGCAGTGCTGCACTAATTCAAACAAAATCATGATAAAATTACTCGGACTCGCTTATGGGAAACATTTTTTTACAGAATTTAATTCGCCCTAGATGTAGTTTAACCACAGATTAGACAACGGTTTCAGAACTAGAGGGTCCGCATTGATTTGATCTTGCAATTTCAAGAGGAAAGAATGTTCTGTAATACTTGAACGTTGGCAAGTTTTACATATGCTAACCACGTGTTCTGTCTCAGCAATACAAGTAATAATATACAGCATTGTTATCGTTGCTTGTCTCGGGCCCCCTATTCGAATAATACGAGCGGATATATACCTTATTTTTATGTTAAATAAAGTACAAATTGGTTAAACCGTTGTGTACAATGACCTAATTGTCTCAGACTGACATGGGATATTGTACTGAACCATTCCATTTGGTATAGTACGAATCTATTCGACTTTGTATACTTATTACGTCTTTTTATTTCTGCATTTCTGTATTATTAAATAAGATAATAGACGAGTTAACCATGACCTTTATTTCTTTGAATTTAAGTTTATTAGAAAGCGTTGATAATATAGTCAAAGTACCCTTAGAAATATAAGCTCTCGGGGTTATAATGTCTGCAGATTTTTCAGTTAATAAAATTTTATTAATTAAACAGTAGTTATATTAACGCTGTTTTCTAAAATGGGAATAGACGTCCAATTTAGTAATACAAATAGATTTAAAAGATTATATCGCTAGTTATCTTAATTTAGTTTCTTTTAATGCTCGTTTAATGTTTTGTGTACTGTAGGTAGCGTTTTATTGCCCACACGTATTCCTGTTTTTGTGTGCTTCCTATTTTTATATACCAGATGCGTTTACTTCCTCTTTACAGGAATGCTGCATACAAACGGAATTCATACTTTTTATAGTAACTCGGGTAGTTTAGATAAAATCAGCAAAACAAATCTACCCACATTTTAATACGAAATTGAGTGTAGATTTCGTGCTAAATAAAATTTGACATTTATCGCAGTATCGTAAACAAAGAAGATTGACCTATTTCATATTAGTGTGAAGTCGGGGTATATTTTTAGTGCAAAGAGCGGTAAGGACGTCATATTCACAAGTATATCTGTAAATAGATTGGCTAAATGGGTCACGTCGATACCACATTATCACGGTACTAACTCCTTTATGGAATATATTTAATTAAGTTTACGAGTATGTCGTCAGGTGCTACGTTTTAGGTTTATTTTCTTAGCTCTAACGCCCTTTGTAGGTTTTCCCTTTTACATCTAACAAATTGATTTTCTGCTTAAAACAAATGAAGATAAACTTGGCTTTAACTTGTGTAAACAATGAACACAAATACGATTTTATTACAACCAAGTTACGAGTCGTTTACGTTAAGTTGTACAAATGTAGCAAATCGAAAAATTCCTAAATACTTAGATGCGGTTACCGGAACTAATATTGAAATTCTTTACTTATGTTATCGTTGCAAGTGTATATTTAAATATATTGCGAACTTATGTTTATCGTTTATTTCTATTTGATAATTCATTAATACAGTTTTAAATAATATGTTGACTATAATTTCTCTGTGTTGATGATAATTAGACTTTGAGATGAAACTTTAATGTGTGAACAAAGTGTGTGTTCAATATTTTGTTGTGTGTACAATGTGAACGGAACAACATGGTCATCTTGAGGAGGTTGATGGTAAGTTTTAAGGGACAAGATTATTGATCTTAAAAGTGTTATCGATAAAAATAATTGTACTTCCCCGTGTGTTTAATTTTAAGTCTGTGGAATGTTAATAAATGCAATAAAATAATTTCAACTTCGGTTTATTAGCTGTAAGTTTATTTAACAACTAGCTCTCGCCCGCGACTCTGTCCGTAGCCTATGTGTTCTTCCAGACTATCCTCTACGACTATATAAAATTTGATCGAGATCCGTTCAGCCGTTTAGGCTACAAACTCTAAAAAACATCTATCCAGCCATCTAAACTTACGCATTCATAATATTAGTAAGATTTTAGTCATGTAGATGTTTGGGACACGTGTGTGCCCGACCGGCGAGCTCCCGTGTCAACTGCCGATGACAGCATCGAGCCCTCATATCGTATTCCCATTGATAAAGACCCCCTTATCTAATACTGAGTCATTTATTTGTGAATGTAAATCTTGGCAGTTGACAACCTCCCAATGCTTAACGCTATCACACTATATGAATAATACTTTTAGGCGGAGGAGTAATTTTGTACACAAGAGCTACAGTAATTAATTGCTAAAATGTTAATAGTAATATTTACTACAGATAACCGGATAGTTAACACTTAGATCGCGCGCTCACCTTTTACTAAGCAATCGCACAACTGTGGCGCATTGACGATTGTCGATTGTTTCTCCGCCAATTCAACTGTTTAGTTGCACAATTAAAAGTCGAGTAGTGTGCGCACCTCCATATAAGCTCATAGCAATTAAAACGCGACTAAACATCTGTGCGATAGTTTAGTCAAACAAAACCATTTATCATTGGTGCGCATAGTATTCAGTAGCATCCGTGTATGTAGGTGCCCAGCTTGCGCGAGGAGGCGCCGAGCGCGGCCGAGACAGACAAATGGCGACAGCGGCGTTACAACAGCTTCGACCAGAACAGACAGCTCGAGGAGGTCACTAAGGAGAGGTCAGTATAGTTTACTTTAACTATTCGTTTATCCATAAAGTATTATAAGATCGTTGGTGTTATTGTATGTGTGTTGCAGGGATGCGCTGCAGCGTGTAGCGGCGTCGCTGCAGCGCTGCGTGGGCCAGCTGGTGGCGTACTGCGCCAGCGCGGAGGACGAGCTCAACCGCACCGTGCTGGCGCGGCTCCTCGCCACACTGCTGCCCGACGAACAGTCAGTCATTCTAATATAAATTTATTGTTCTTTGCAACATTTCTAGGTCCTTAAGTCGTCATTAAATTCTGTATAGGAATTCTACATTAAATATTTTTTTTAAGTACGCGAACAAATTTTATCAATTGTGTTCTATATGATGTGAATTTGGCAAATTTTTGTATTATCTAGGACACTTGAGGTTTGCAAGTAATAGGGTTGTTTGAAGCATAGGGTATAAGTATATTCGTTTCCAGTGAACACGTCGCTGGCAAACCGCCATGCGATAGTTGTATTGCTCTGGCGACACTGCATTCGCTTGTTATGGTGTACTTATCCAGACTTCTACGCGTAAAGTTATACGTGATTTACATATTTAGAATTGAAATCGAGATTGCGTTACTCATTTTAAGATTAATTGAAATTATCATAGTAATAAGTAGTTTAAGTTTTTTTATCATGTATGCACTAGCGCTTGATCACGATCTCGCCTAGAATTAGTTACTATATTTTTACTGTATATCGAAAATAATAAACCAAAATATACTTAAATCTTGAGTTTCTTAGACAAGACGATATAATACAGTGCTAAAAAGTCGGATTTGTCTACTAACCAAATCAAATATGTATTTGAGTTATTTCGCAGTCGCCAGACGCAATAAAACGCACGACCGGATTTGTGTCTTTGGGTGAAGTCAAATATATCTTATTTGCATGTGCATCTGCTATTTACGGCAACGCAAAGCGTCGTTTCCGAAATAAATTCAATTCCTAACACACGTAATTGTGTTGTTTCATCGGGTCGCTCAACTTGCTTCCTACATTCTTTATCTCCAGGTCATTTGTGGAGGAGTGTGGTCGGGGCAGTGTGGGCGGGGGC